GTTTCCTCAAATTCTTTTTATTTTTATTTTTTTTTTTTTTTAAATATTTATTTATTTAGTTAGTTATTGGCGGACACAACATCTTTGTTTGTATGTGGTGCTGAGGATCGAACCCGGGCCGCACGCATGACAGGCGAGCGCGCTACCACTTGAGCCACATCCCCAGCCCTCTCAAATTCTTTTTAAATGGCATTTTACAACTTTTTACTTTACCACACAGATTATATCATCTAGAATCATTTCTTTTTCCTTTAACCTTTTATATTAAAATATATTTCCACATCTTGAATCTTTTTATCTCTTTTTTAACCATTAACCCTTTTTATAAATTCACATTTTGAAACAACTCTTATAAAATTTCTGATTTAGACAAATTACTCCACTTTAATAAGATGAAAGACTTTCATGTTTTTTATGATACTATAATACTATAATTGAAACCCAACTGAAAATTTTTCTACTCTTTGTATATAAATTACACATGATAGAATCTTAACACTTAGTAACCTTGTTTTAGCAAAGACACAGACACAAAGCAATATTAAACATTTTTCCATTTACCAATTTATGAAAACACACATAATGTTTAAATATATTACCTTATGGAACTTAATAAGTAAAGAGTACTTGATTTCATATTTAGTGGCTGATATTTTAACACTTTAGCTTTGTAAATTAATCAGATGTCTGTAAAAACCAAGATCTTAGACAAATGTAGTAAACAGAACTAGCATCTCTTTCTTGTTGAAGAAAAATCCTTCTACAGGATACCATGATGGTCTCATTAATATACTTAATAACTCATTAGCTTAGTAGTATAGTGACCCTGGATTCAATACCCAGTACCACCAAAAAAAAAAAAAAAATGGATGAGCATCAGAATGATTCGGCTGAGGGAGACACCAGACAAAACAGGACAAACCCCCTGATTGTATTGCATTAAACTTCACAGAACAGCTTACTGCAGGAAGTCGGGCCAGTGCCCACCCGGAGGAGGCAAGGGCAGGAGGAAGGTACCGAAGGTCTGGGTGCTTCTTACCTTGGCTGTGCTAAGTGGGTCCTGAGAGTACCTGTGTGTGCCAAAACTCACCCGACTGCCAGCTTCAAATGGGTGCAGTTCCTGTCAACTACACCTGGTTTCTCTGGGACAGCCTTCCACAGGAGGTCTCAGAAAGCTCCCATTCCACTGTGGGGCAGCTGGACAGCCCTGATCTGTGGTCCTCCCAGTGGAGAATGCCCACAGGCTTGGATGCTGTGGTGACTTGGCTTGGGGTTCACCCCTGCTGCTGGGTGTACCTCAAGAGCAGGACGAGGTGCCCCTCCCCACAGCCTGTCAGACCCCAGCACTGAGGGGCACCATGCTGCACTCATGACTCCCTATTTACCTGCTCAGGCTCCCCATGCCCCAGATCCACCCTCCTGCTGGAAGATGGCCAGATCACAAAAGACACGGATTTCATGATGGGGACGGGAAGTCAGCATTGGCAAGTCCAGTCCCACCCTGGACTGGGGCCATGATTGTCAAACCCACAGACAGAAGGGGCCTTCCCCTAGACTGCTCAGGGCAGGTGCCACCTGGTGCTCAGCTGGTTTTGAGACTGGCTCCCCTGACAGAGAGGCAAGGAGGGGTGATGGCCAGGGCCCAGGTCACACCCTGCTCCTGCACTCACTGGCTGCCACGCCTTGGGAGGTCACTTGGTCCTTGCACATGTGTCTCCTTATTTGCTAATTCGGCAGGTCAGCGGCATCACTGGCCGATGCCTCGTTGCCCACCATGGCATGTGTGAGTTGAGCCAGACAACTTGAGGACCGCAGCCCTGAAGCACCCTTCAGAGCCACCAGCCAGGAATGCCTGCACTGGTGTCATCCTCAGGCATGCTGGGACTGAGGTGAAATCGCAGGATCTGCAGGAAGCTGCTTTCTTGCCCTCAGGCAGGACAATCTAAGTGACAGAGTGGTGGTACTGCCCCTGAAGCCTGACCTTCAAACCCCTCCCTGCAATAACTGGTGCAGATCCAGCACCTGGAGAAGGAAGTGCTTGTCCAGCTGTCCCAGCCTGGACCAAGCACTCAGAGGGATGCAGGTGGCATTTTCTGGCACAGCCACAGAGGCTCCTGTGAAATAGAGGTGCCCTGTCAAGCCTGTGGCCAGTGGCTCTTCCCAGTAAGCACTGTTCAGTAGACCCAGTGTCTCTCACACCATCTGGGATGCATTCTTTGGCCTTCTCGGCCACCTGTCCCACAGTCCTAGCACAGCTGGACTGAGGGCCAGACACTAGCACTCAGCAGGGCACAAAATGAGCCAGCTGCCACTGCCGACAGGGCTGGTGGTCCCAATGGGGCTCAGGGCTCCAGTGTCTAAGAAGCCCGCCCACCCACATTGCCCACGAAGGGCTGCTGCCTCCCCCAAGGACCCACTCAGCCCTCCCAAGGAGTGGGAGGCCTCAGAACCTGCAGCCAGTCTGAGGCACTACATGTGGGACAATCGTGCCATAGCTCAAAGGAGGTGGAGCAGGTGCCCCCAGGTCCCCAGTCCCTCCTGGTAGACTGCAGTCTAAAGGGATCTCAGGGGCCACCTGTGTTTCAGACCAGTCCCACTTTCCTGTGCTTCACACAGTGGGGTTCTGTGCAAGACTTCATTTCTCAATTTCTGCATATTTAAAAAACATTGCACCTGGCCATCCAAGTCTTAAAGACCCCCACCACTGGCAGCCTTAACATCTAACGCGAGATGACAAGCCATCTTGCCTCGGGTGACGGAGCCATGCTGGTCACCGGCTCCAGACAGATGTATAACCCCAGAGGAGCCCGTGTAGTTGAGGTCTGAGCATCTTGACAAGCCTGGTGAGTCACATGCAGTTCTAGGACCCCGATGGGAGGCCTGCCTGTTGCCTGGGTCCGTAAGTCCACCCAGGCTTCAGAAGGATCTCGCCAAAGTGACCTTGGACTGGAAGACTCACCCTCCCTCCCCAGAGAGAGAGTTGGTCATTGTCCACAGGGGCCCAACAGGTCAGGGAAGGTCCAAGGAGGGGGAGGATTTGAGAGCATGACTTTCAAAAGCAATAAGTCTAACCAGGACAGGCTCTTATGAGATAGGACTCTCTCTAACAAGGCAGAACATGCCTGCCCCAGCTTCTTCTAGGTGGCCTGGGGAGAGAGATAAGCCTCCTTCAGATCTGCATGGGCTTCAGAGATGGCAGTACAAGTGGCCCCAGCCACAGAAAGAACACAGCTCAACATGCTACAGTGTGGTGGACCTTGAAAACACGGCTAGGTAAAAGGGACTGGACACAAGAGGCTGCGCACCTTGGCCCCATTGATAGGACTGTCTGGAATAGGTGGATGCTCAGAGACACCAGGTTCTTGGTTGCAGTACAGTTGACTGACTGCCAATGCCACGTTTGTGGATGAAGATATTCTGGCATTAGGTGGTGACAATGACATTGTGAATATACTAAAAATCACTGAATTAGCTATTTGCAGTGGTGCACACCTATAATCCCAGAAACTCAGGAGGCTGAGACAGGAGGATTGAAAGTTTAAGGCTAGCCTCAGAAATTTAGGGAGGCCCTAAACGACTCAGTGAGACCCCATCTTGAAATAAAAAATAAGGGGCTGGGGATGTGGCTCAAGCAGTAACGCGCTTGCCTGGCATGCGCGGGGCACTGGGTTTAATCCTCAGCACCACATAAAAATAAAAAATAAAGATGTTGTGTGTGGGAAGCCATTCTCGCACGTGATTTGAGTTACCTCCCTGGCTGGGTGAGAGGCGCTTAGACAACTGTGTCAGAGCCTTCCCCACCCTGTCCCAGGTGCGAGGGCTTGTCCGTGTGGAGGTGTGCCTGGCCACTGACCCGAAGACCAATCACTGACCCTGACCTTGGAATGCTGCCCCCCTCGACCTTCATTGGATGGGATTTTACCTTGAATATTTTGTTCCCCAATAAAAGCTCACTCCCTGGCATGCTCTCTCTCTCTCTCACTAGTCTCTTGTATAAACTTCGCCACCCCATTAGGTGGCTGGAGGCGGGAGCTAGGAGAAGCCGTCCCAGAGCTGGGTATTAAAGGGTAAGGAGAGTGTGTCTCTTTAATTTTAAACTCATAGTTAGTTTCTATGCCTCGAACCTCTTTTATGAAGCTCGCATGCTGGTCGCACGGCAGAGTTGTGTCCACCGAAAACTGAAAAATAAAATTTTTTTTTTTTTGAATTTTTTAATATTTATTTTTTAGTTCTCGGCGGACACAACATCTTTGTTTGTATGTGGTGCTGAGGATCGAACCCGGGCCGCACGCAAGCCAGGCGAGCGCGCTACCGCTTGAGCCACATCCCCAGCCCTAAAATTTTTGTTTTAGAGAGAGAGAGAGAGAGAGAGAGAATTTTAATATTTATTTATTTTTTAGTTTTCGGTGGACACAACATCTTTGTTTGTATGTGGCGCTGAGGATCGAACCCGGGCCGCACGCATGCCAGGCGAGCGCGCTACCGCTTGAGCCACATCCCCAGCCCTGAAAAATAAATATTAAAAAATTCTCTCTCTTCTCTCTCTCTCTCTCTCTCTCTCTCTCTAAAAAAAAAAAAAAAGAAAGAATGAAATTAAAAATAAAAAGAACCGGGAACGTAGCTCAGTAGTAAAGTGCCCTGGGTTCAATACCCAGTGCCAACAAGCAAAGCAAAGCAAACCAAACACCACTGAGTCATCCCGGCGGTAAAGAGCTGGGCTTTGTGCGATGTCAACTGCAACTCCATTGCATCTCCATGAGGGATGATAATTTGTTAAAGGACCTAGAAGAAACGCTGAGTGCCAAAGGCTTGGTCCCTGAGCCTGCGTGCTGCCCCCCTGCCCTCCCCTCCTGGGACCCCAGCCCGCACTGTCTTTGGAATTCAGAGACACATCTTGCTGAGGGGGGGGCATGCTGCCACACACGAGGGGTCCAGTGACCAGCACTGGGGTGTGGAGGATGGACATCAGCTATGCAGGGACATCCCCACCTGACACTCACCTGTGGAATGAAGCCACAGCACGTCACCGTGTGGAAGCCAAACTTGGTCACATACAGGGGCTCTGCACCCTCAGCCCTCCGGCCTGTCAACAGAGATCCTGGGCTGCAAACAAACACACCTGACAGAAGAGCCACCCCGACCAACTGGACAGCAGGGCTGGTCATGAAAGGGGCCGTCAGCCAATCCCACCAGCTTGTCCACTCCACTGAGATTCATATTTAATCATCTCATTCTGTAGATGCAGCATGGAGGGAGACGGCATACCATTCACCCTGCTATTGACATGCCACCAGGAAGCATCCTGGGCACTGTTCTGGGATAGCCCTGCCGCTGGGTAAGGAAAGCTGACTGGACATACCCACTGTGTTCTCCTCCGCCTTCACTTTCTCCCTGAGCTTCTGGTTGTACAGGTGCAAGTCTGCCATCTGGTCTCCAAGCTTGGAAGCCTGACTGAGGGAAGAAGAAACACAGCTATCAAGACGACCTCACCCAGGTGCTTTAGAGGCCTTACAACCCGCCCCACTCGTGCAGGGTGGCCCTGAGCATGCAGCGCCAAGAGGGACCAGCGAGCTCTGCAGATGTGCTGGCAGGAACAGAGCACTGATCTCTAGTCTGAAAGGGCTCCGCGGGGACACAGCACCAGCCCCTGCAGAACACTGCAGCCACAGGGGACACAGGAAGACAAGCAGGGGGCCCCGCCTGCCTGGGAGCAGGGGTGGCTTGGCCTCTTCTGCACCAGAGCATTTCTCACATTTTACACAGTGAACATGTTTGGCTTCTTCCTCTTCTTCAGTGCTGGGGACTGAACCCAGGGCCTCGAGCATGCTAGGCAAGGGCCCTACCCCTGAGCTGCATCCCCAGCCCTGACTTTACAAGGTGAAAAGCGATGTAAGACTCCAGACAATTAGTAGATCATCCTTGTTCAGCCCAAACTGAGCTGGCATGAGCACACACCAAAAGCACAAAGCAAGGCACAAGTTCAAATGCATGCTGTCTGCAGCCATGTCACAGCCAGACTGACCCCAAACCAGCACCAGCCGCACACAGAAAGCCCAAACTCTGTCTCAGGCAAGAAGGGCCTGTGCTGGCAGGGCAGTTATGTGGGCAGCTCCGCAAGCCCCTCTATCTGTCTCTCTTTCTCTTCTCTCCATCCCTGTCACTGTCTCTCTCTGTGTCTGTCCGTCTCTCTGTCCCTCTGTGTGTCTCTGTGTCTGGGTGTGCTTGTGTGTGTCCCTCTTACACACAGATACACTCACCTACTCAAGCTCTTCATCTTCAAGTACTCCATCACAAAGACAGCCCCACCTGCCGGCAGGTCTATCACCTTCAAGGGCCGAGGCGCCCGTACCAAGCCTGTGCTACGTAGGGCCTCCAGGCTTGCCATCTCCCCCTCAAACATCTGCCGGGCCTGTGTCCAAAACACCAGAACACCACCATGAGCCCCTTCAGCAACACAAGGTCCAGCTCCAGCAGGGGCCCCTGCCAGTCAGGCTGAGGGACTGGTAGACCATAACACCAGAATGAAGTCATAACGTGGGCTCAGAAGCCTCGGCCCCCCATGACCGAAAACCAGCAAGCCATCCATCCCTCATCCATCAGCAGCAGGGTGCACAGAAGCTGGCTTTAGCAAGCACGAGGCTGCCTGGGTGTTCGAGGAGCCTGGGGACGGGCAGGATGCTGCCACCCAACAGCCAGCTCTTGCTGAAGCAGTGAGGAGACATGGGCCACAAGAGGTGCAGGTATGGGGTGCAGGGTAGTGAGAGCTAACCAGGTCTTGGCTGCCCTGGGTCCCCTTAGCAGGGGGCAGCCTTGGGCAACCACAGCAAAGAGGGCCAGGGCATGGTGGAGGTGATGTGTCGGGGAGGGTGGGGCTGGGAGGGCAGCTGGGCCTGGCTCAAGTCCATTAGGGCCTGGAGAGTGGAAAGGAGCCATACAACTAACTTGTTCCCAAAGCCTCTGCTGGGACTCAGGGGTCTTTCTATTTCTAGAACACTCCTATAATTATCCCAATTTGACATCAGATGAGCTCTCTCCTATGAACACTACACTTCAGTGAAAAACGTGCTTATGAATGAGGTTTGTCAATACTTCTGCCCGTAGAATTTCAGGTTTAAAGCAAACCTTGTAAATGAGACCAAAACACCCACTGCCATGCAGGAGGAAACCTCAGGGGGAAACCAGGGATTGCCCTTCAAGGTGCCAGCCTGGTCCCTGACTCCTGAGCATACCTAGGTGGCAGGGCATTCACAAACTGCACTTAACACCCAGTCTGAGCCCCAAACTTCAGGCAGAGAACATCGGGGACACAGCCTGCTTTTATCCCAAGGGCTCTAACTGACACCTTCTCTGGAGCATGGTCTGAGCACCAACTGTGTGGGCCTGAGAGTCTCAAGGGGGAAAGGGGGATTCCTCACCTTGAGGGAGTCTCCTTCCCTGTGCCAACTGTGCTAAGCATCCCCAGGTGTGGTGCTGCCAGGGCACTGGGAGAAAGAGCTCTGAGACTCTCCAACACTGCCAGGACCACTGCCCATCAGGAGTGCAGGGCCTCTTGCTGCTTGGGTCTGCCGGTCAACAGCTTGCCCGCTCTCAGGGCCTATGGCTAACTTTCTCCGTGTTCATTGAGTTACTCAGGGCCTCACTAAGTTGCTGAGTCTGGCCTTGAACTCACCAGGTCCCAGGTCCCGGGTCCCAAGTCTCTGGGATCACAGGCATGGGCCACTGCAGGGCCAGAGATATTTTAAGCAGACCATAGAGACTCAGGTCTATTTGAACACGCCATGGCCTATAAGGAACCCTGGAGTCCTTTCTCTCCTCACCTGCTGGAGAGGGCACAGGTCTGAGAGGAGCAGGGCCCAGGGCTGAGGCCAGTCAGGACCAGAAGGTCCTGGGCTACGAGCCTGCCTCCCTCATACTCCCTGGATACAGAATCAAAACACCTAGAAAGCCACCAAAAGGAAGGATATCTATATGCAGCAAAGACAACTTAAAGCCCTCAAGATTCACGCTGCAGGTGCCAGCCCCAGGGCCGCTGTCTGACCAGGGCAGCGGGTAGCAGGCAGGCCACTAGGCCCAGCTCCCGAAAACCGCCGCTTCCCCCACGCCAGCCCTTTCCGCACAGCGCACCTGCGTCCTGCGGTTGACCTTGACGAACACCCGGCCAGCGTCTGTTTCGTAGGCACGGCCCTCGCTGATGCAGCCGGCCCCCGGAATCCCGAAGGCGCGCAGGGTCGCGGTGCGCAGCTCAGCGCGCAGCAGCTGCTCCATGGGTTCGCTGGGCCTGCAATGCCTGGATGGCGCAGACAGGGGCTGGGCGGGGACACTGGGCGCGGCCAGCGCAGCACCCCTGCCGCAGCAACTGAGAGCAGCCCCTCGGTGCGCGCTCTCGCTGCGCGCTCCCGCTCTGATCAGCTGCCCAGGGGGTGACAGTCTCCATGCCAGCGCTCCTAGGGCGACCGAGCGGAGGCGGCTAGCAGCGCTTGGCCCCTTGGCTGGGCCCACTCCAGATGGGCCCCAGCTCCACCCATCCCAGTGGAGGGAGACCCCTGCCCTGGTCCTGGCTGCTCTGGAATGAGTAGGGGTAAAAGGAGGGTCCTCCCCTTTTGTGGACACGGCACACCCTGGGGCAGAGCGCCCTGCACAGGGGGAGGCTGGAAGCCCTCCAGGGAAGGCCTGTGTCAGGACTCCCTCCCACTCAGGGAGCATGGGACAGACAGGAACTTGTTGTCCCTCAAAGGCAGGTCACAGTCCTGGATGGGTTGTCACACCATCCAGACAAGGCAGGAGTCTCAGAGGGTCTTAGCCAGACCCCCTGGCACTATTACTGATCTGGAGCTCTGCCCCTCAGGGATGGGCTGCTCTGTGGTCTGTTAACAGCAGTGACCCCTCAGGATATGACTCCTGACCAGAGGCAGCCACCCTGAGAAGGGAGCCTGCACAGACCCACACACCTGAGAACACTCACAAGCTGGCATGCACACTGTGCACAGTCAGGGCCAAGGGAGTCTAAAGTGGGACTCAGGACCAGGTCCAGGGGCTGCCTGGCCATCCCTCCTAACCTCCTCGGGAACCCCCAAGCCCTCCCCACCCAGTGCAGGCTCCTTATTAACCGTGCTTCCTTCCTCAGATAAGGGAAGCTGGAGTGGCACCTCTTCACTAGGCAAGCTGATGCAGGAGTGTGGCTTGGGCAGTTTGGCACCGGCCCAGGCACGTAGTGAGACCCTGTCTCAGAGGGGAAAAACAAATAAAAAATGAAATAAATAAATGAAAATCGAAAAGAACCCTGGAAGAGAGATTTGGAGCTAATAAACACTGGCTGAGCCTTCGTCACGTGCTAGGGCCCAAGTGAAATGTCAGTCAGCTGATCTGTGAAGGATCCTGCCATTAGCTCCCACCTTTCAGACGAAGAAACTGAGGCACAGAGAGATTGAGCAACTTGCCAAGGGTCCCAGTGCTAGAAGGTGGCAGAGGGAATTTGAGAGTGAATCTTTCTGGCTCAGGCCCCACCAACTATCAACAGTGGTCTCAGAAGGTCCTCAGAGGGGCCAGGATTCTGCATTCCCAGGATTCCTCCCAGGAAGCCCACCCCTACCCTGCCACCCAGTTCTCTCCTGCCTTCCAGCTGAACCTGCAGCAGATGCCCACCCGGTTAGAGGCAAAGCATATGGTCAGATCAACATCTGAGGTTTTCATGAAGAAATCTGACATCCTGGAGTCCCAATGGTTGAGGGAAGCCTCAGAGGGGCACTGTGGGGGCTGGATGCCCTGAAGTCCTTCTTGCTGCTGCCCCAATCAAAACTGGGAGTGGGTCCACTGGAGTCTCTAACTGGAACCTGGCATGGCGGTCACTGCCAAGCAGGATATGTCCATGTGGCCTCTTGGTGTGGCTTGAGACTCTTTGAGCATCAAGAAGCCATGGTTCCAGAACTAGCAAGAGCAAAGGCCTGTTCTGATCCAGCTTAGAAGCCAATGCCATTGTTTCCTCTTCCTCCCACTGGTTATAAGTCTCCAAGATCACCACCAAGGAAGATGGACAAGCCACGGCAAGGTCACCAAGGAAGTTATAGGGACAGCCACCTAAGGGAGGGCAGCTGCCCATATCTTACTCTGCCCAGTGGTTCTCTCTGTCCAAGCCTGCCCTGACCAGGCATTGAAGACAGCTACGGCAGAGCCCTGCACCTTGCAAATGTCTGTGCTCTGGCTGACAGTTGGGCTATATGGAGTTCCAGATAGGCAAGGCCACATCCTTTCAGGCTTAGAAGGCTGTGCTGTGTGCTGCAAAGCTTGAGCCACATGGACTCTTACTCTGGTAGGAACCGTTCTCCCTGGAGGCTCCTAGGGTCTTCTCTGTTGTAGGCTCTCAAAGTTACTGAGGTAGGTGTTTGGGATGAGTCTGCCGTCACCCCTGGTCAGGTCACTTCAGGATGGAAACCTGCCCTGCAAACAGGTCATGACACCTGGAATCACACACCAAGGGCCTGCAGAGAGCCATTTGGGCCCTCAGGCCTGCAGCAAGAACATGGTAGCCTGGTCCACAGGCATCAGGTCTTTGTTTGTTTAATTTATTGTTATTCTTAGTTGTAGACGAACACAATACCTTTATTGTATTTATTTTTATGTGGTGCTGAAAGGCTTGAACGCAGTGCCTCACATGTGCTAGGCAAGTGCTCTGTCACTGAGCCACAGTCACAGCCAGCCTAGGCCTTTGTTTTGGGACCAACAAGGCCTACTGAAAATTCAGAGGCAGGAAAGTGGCAGCAGAGCTTTGTGTGTGTGAGTTATAATGCTATTTAAAGACCATGTCTTAGAAAGACGATGCAGAGTAAGCTGGGCGGCAGGGATCAGGAGGCTCGGAGGGCTGCAGGCTTCCCGTGGACAGATGAGCAAGATGGCGGGCAGGGCAGATCCCAAGCCAAGGAGGTGGCAGAATAGGGGTGTTACACGACAGATCTGTTCCACAGAATCTGCTTCTACCCCACACCAGCCTCCACGTAGCCTGGGCTGACCTGTTTTAGAGGCTGCCCTTCTGGTAGGTCTGGCCAATGGGATCCCAGAAGATGGAAAGGAGGGTGAGGTGAGGGCCTGCCCCCCACCTCCTGCCAACAAGGTCCCGGGCTCGCCCTGAGAGCTGGGTGCTGCACTTGCTGTCTTCACCCCCCGACCTCTGTCAAGCCCTCTTTGGGTGAGTCCAACCTGGGGGCCTGGCCAGCCTGGCCAGGCCGTGTGCCAAGGCATCCAGACAGCCTGTGCAAGGGATGGAGGGTGCCACTGCTGGAGCAGGGAATGTGTCAGAGGGCAACTCATCAAAAGATGCAAGTAAGCTTCAGGGTGCAAGGTCAGCTTCAGCTTCTCACTTCCCTCTGTGGAGTCTGGTACTCTGGCAGTGTCACACAGGGCTGGGCTTCTTTTTTTTGGTACCGGGGATCGAACTCAGGGGCATTTAACCACTGAGCCACACCTCGAGCCCTATTTTGTATTTTATTTAGAGACAGAGTCTTACTGAGTTGCTTAGCATCTTTGCTTTTTGCTGAGGCTGGCTTTGAACTTGCGATCATCCTGCCTCTGTCTCCTGAGCCGGTGGGTTTATAGGCATGTGCCACCGCGCCCAGCAAGGTTGTGCTTCTTGATGAAACACTCCCACTCTCAGTAGGAAATACCAGCACCCAGAGAGGAGACCTGAGGGTCCAGGGCAGGCACTTGGGGCAGCAACCCTCCCCTGGACACCTTACCCCAGTGATGCTTGTGGCTGCTTTAGAGATAAACCCCTCCCAGGTCCAGTCTCACCGAGGAGCCTAGGTGTTAGTGTCTAGAGCCAGCTCTCTCAAAACTGCGAGTGTTGACACTCTGCTTTGCAAGGACCAGAGGAGGCAGCTGACAGGACATCATATGCCATCTCTCCCCAGCCCAGAACCCAGCAGTACTTCACTTGGGGAAGCCTGTCCCAGAAGTGCATCCGTCTTTCATGGAATGGAATAATACTCAAGAAGCAACTCGAGGCGGACCCGGGAGCTCTGGACCTAAAGTCTTTATGACTTCGGCAACCTTTTAGGAAAAGAAAAAGTGGTATGTGTGTGCACTATGTGCATTACACATACAATAGTGAATACAAAATTAGGTACAAAAGCAGACGTTTTAGGAGAAGTAATTGCCACAAATGGCAGTTTAAAAAGCTGACACCATCACAGAATCGAAAACACCACTCTACTCTTATCAGCCCACCACACACCCGAAGGTGTCCTCCCCACACCCACTGATGGCCTCTCCTGAAGGCAGCACTGCCACTGTCCAAGGAGCAAAGGCCATCTCCTCTGGAGGGCCCAGGTGTCCTTTCTGCTCATGGCTAGGGAAGTGCTGGGCTCGCTGTTTGACACAGGAATGATATCCAGGCCACAAGCATCGTGGATACCCAGAGGCCCCTGCACAGCCACCAAGGGGATGCTCTTGGAGGGAGGGGTCTGGGTATCGTCCTGCTCAGGCACCAATGTCTCTGGACACAGTAGTCAGCTTCCCCAGGCTCATAGTAATCAAGCTGGGTCGTGGCACATGGTGATCCAGGAATCACCAGGTTAGAAACTGACCACCACGAATGCCCCAAGGTCACAGTCCTCTCTTCCTGTGGCCACCAGCAGCTTCTCCCCGACCCAACCACATGACTACTTTCGTCCTCCTGTTTTCCAGGTCTCACAGGTGGAGAACAGTGGACAGGTGGCACCACCTGTCAGGTGCCATGGGCAGTTCTCAGGCTGTTCCTTCCTGTATCAAGCTCTGTGCTGTTCTTTACTTGAACAAAAAAATAAAAACTGGGCTGAAGTTGTAGCTCAACTGTAGAGAGCTTGCCTCCTACATGTGAGGCACTGGGTTCAATTCCCAGCACCCCATATAAATAAGCAAATAAAATAAAGGTCCATCAACAAATAAAAAATGTTTTTAAATAAATAAATAAATAATAAAAACGATTCTTTTAAGAAACAATAGGTGTTCCCATCTATGGTCAAAACATAGTGCAAACCACAGGACAGAGGCTGAACCACAACAGTGGCAAGTATGTAGTCTCATGAACCAGTGAGACCACTGGAGTTTATTTAGACTTTCAGGCAAAGGGTTTGTTAGTGTCACTGACATTCATGAAATACTTCATCACTATGATACTGAAGTGGGAAAAATATTAGTTCAATGCTCATTTTATAAGTTTAGCAAAGAATGACAACTTGGCAAGACTGTAGAAAATGACACAGATAGGTAATAACAGGAGCGAGGGATTCATGACTCCTAAACTTACCCGTTTCACCCTATGGCTGGCAACTTGGGCCCTCCAAGAACTAGTTCCCAGACCTGCTCAGCCTGCAGTTAGGTCCAGAGGAAATGCATAAAGAAAAGGAAATGTGCTTGATTTGGGAATTGATTGCCACTATAAGGTTCTAGGAAGCTGGCTTCGTGTCTGGACTCAGGTCTTACCCATCATGAAGCACCACCAGCTCAGAGGTGTTCCTGAACAGGAAAGCAGATGGGTGGACACTCTGGTTCTGTCCCTGCATGCTCACATGGTCACGCACGGTTCCCTGCCATTGGCCCAGTGCCCTCAGCTTCAGAGGTCCCTGTTCCGGTTGCTAGCGTGGCCTCATCAGTCATGATGTCTGGCCACGTACAGCTGGAAGGCAACCCTTTCCTGACATCACATACTATTCAAGGCTTGGACACAGGCCACATGGAAAACAGGAAGTTGCACGAGTAAGTGGCCATGGAGAAAGAAATGGCTCCTCAGAGGGAAAGCCAGCTCACTTGACCAGATTCCGCATGATGTTCAGGGAGGACCCTCTGTACCCTGATCCAAAATGGTTCCAGTGGTTCAGGTAGTGGAAGAGTTGGTACAACTGCAGGCGCTGCTCGAATCCAGGGACCTTGGGAATCTTGCTGTGGTAGGCAGAGTAAAAGGAGCCACTGAAGCCCCCAAACATGCCGGCTATTGCCAGCTCATACTCAGAGTGGCCATAGAAAGAAGCTGGGTCGAAAATAATGGGCCCCGAGGAATCTTCTGCTACGTTCCCTCCCCAGAGGTCTCCGTGGAGCAAGGCAGGGACAATCTCCAGGTTGCGGAACAGGTCAGGGATCTTCAGCTGCAGGGAGACAGAGCCTCAGCTACATGCAGAGGGGTGCAGATGTTTCCTAAGGGCTGTAGCACATCCCCCAACAGCAGCACCACTCAACAGTGCCTGGATTCAGGGGGCGGACAGGACACTGACAGGCACCTGCCTCCTGTCCAGAACCAGACTCAGGGGGGCTGCACCTGCCTTGGCACTTCTGACATTGGAGCCAAGTGGGGCATATTGCTATGGGATGTGTTTGGTTGTGCAGCAAGGGCCCTGCTCACCTGCAGAGCAGACCAGAGCTCAAGTGCCTCCCGGTCCCCAGACTTCTTCTCCACCATGTCCATCTGAGGCTGAATGCGCTGCTGGGCATAGAACATGACCCAGTCCTCCTGCCAGTCATTCACCTGCACATGTGAAAGCAAAGGAGAAAGCATAGTTCTTTGGACAATGCCACAAATAAGGAAGCTTGAATGCCCAGAAGTACCGTAAAGTGGGAAAGGCTGCACACGTGGCATGAGAAGAGGGTCACCACCTGGAGCTGAAGAGCTAAGGGTGGCTGGGCAGCATGAGGTCTCAGAGACAGGCTGAGACCTCAGGTCCTTTCCTAGGAGCAGCAGGAAGCAGGGAATGCAGTAGGGGCCACTCTGTAGCCTTCCAAGACTGAAGAGCACAGGAACATTTTCTTTTGATTATACTTAACTAAACACAGAGGCCAGAGCCAGCTGACCTTCCCTGACCCCATTGCTTAATTCTAACCATCTGCCAAGCCATAGATGACCCCTCTCCAGAGAGTGATAATGAGAAAAGTCATGTAGAGCCCTGTGCAAGAAGAGGATCCCCAAGAGAGGATGTCCAGGCCACAGGTGCTTGCCCCTGTGGGGGAAGAGAGACAGACACACAGTAGTACAGCACCACACAAAGCAGGACATGCTGAGGAGAGAGCACCACACCCGAGAACGCAGATGGGCACGTGCACCCAGGGCAGAGCACCACACGCACAAGCACAAGGCAGGCACAGGCACACAGAAGCACTGAGCACGGGTGCATGGAGAATCACAGGAAGAAAGGAAGGGGCAGAGCCGGCTAACTCACGCCCTGAAATTGAGGCGCCAGAAAGCACTGCTCAAGGCTCTGAGGCAGCTGTCCAGACAACCTCCTAGGACATTCCAAAGCCTACAGCCCCCCAGGAAACCCCTGGAAGTTTCCAGCTTCTTCAGTGCCCCCCTCCCCCCCAAAGAGCCACTCTGCCTATTCTCTGAAAGCAGAGCCGCCATCCTTTCTAACCCACATCTGCTGGGCATCAGTAGAACGCCCCAGGCTGAAAGTCCCAGGGAACCAACCTTAGTCCAACACTGAAGGGTACAGTCCCTGGCATCCACAGAAACTGGATCCGGGAACCCCATACAAAATCCTTACATAGAATGCTGCAGTGTTTGCATAACTGACGTACATACCCTCCAAGTACTTTAAATCATCTCCAAACTACTTGTACACATTGAACAATGTGAATCTATGGAAATGATTGCCATACTGCATTACTTAGGGAATAATGGCAAGAAAAACCTGTATGCATTTAGTACAGACAGATATATATATGTTTTAACATTTCAATCTGCAGTGGGTTGAATACCTGGATGCAGAACCTGTGGATATGGATGGCTGAATATTTATTTAAAATAAAACATTTATAATTTTTCTGATTTTTACCCAGTTGAAATCCAGCATCCTAACTTCCTGGTTCTTCTCTGCTTCTCTGTGCTTACCTAGCATGTAAGGTGGGTGAACCCATGTCAACTTCCTAGGAATCAGCCAAGAAAACAGGGGTGAGGCTTGTAAAACCTCATAAGAAAGGGCAAAGTGGGGCTGGGGACGTGGCTCAAGCAGTAGCGCACTGGCCTGGCATGCGCGGGGCGCTGGGTTCGATCCTCAGCACCACATACAAATAAAATAAAGATGCTGTGTCCACCGAAAACTAAAAAATAAATATTAAAAAAAAAAGAAAGAAAAGAAAGGGCAAAGGTGCTCCCCCACTGTGCCCAATCTGACTGTGTGCTCACCTGGGGAAGGTATCCACAGCAGGTCACCACATCAAACCCAAACTTGCCCACGAAGGGCCGTTCCGCCTGCCCACCTCCTTTCCCTTGCAAGAAGAGGAAAGAAAGAAAGATGACTGGTTAGTTCCCTTGTTCCGAGAGACCCCAGGCTCTGCTCAGAGCTGACCTGTGAATGACCTCAGCATGCCCTTCCCGCCTTGTGTCTTCACCCAACAAACAGGGGTCTTACGGCTGCCAACCCTCAGGTCACTCAGAACAGAGACTATTTCCACGGATTTAATGACCAAAGACACAGACTGTGTCCAGAAGCTGGACCACAGGATACATGGAAAGGGGGACAACAGAATCCAAAAAAAAGGTGATGCTCCTTAGTAAAAAGCTACCTCATAATCCATCAGGAAAGCATATTTTCAGTGGCCAACATAGTGCCACTTTTGACAAACTACTGTGCTTTAAAATGGCCTCAACCCTGTGCAGCTCCCTAAATTCAAAGAAAATCCCAATGGACTGAACTCTGTACTTGAGGGAAACACGAAACGCAGTCTCACAGGGCTCCCCAGTGGATGCTGGGGGGCGGGCGGAGGGGACCTGTCGGGGATGCTCATACAGCGTGTTGCGGGTTATCTGCTTTCTTACTGTCAGCTACTGTCTAACAGAGTCAACACGGCTAATCGTGGATTACCAACAGGCAGAAGTTGGAAAAATCCCCTCAGTGCTAACAGGGCACCAAGCTCTGGACAGGGCAAATGGAAGTGTTCTCACTCTGACACTCAGGAGTGAGTGCACTTGTGAGAAAAGACACTGTGCCCGAAGGACTCACTCTGCAGAAAGGCAGAGAGACTGCAAGTCTGTCTGCGGGGGAGTGGGAGGTGAAGTCCAGCCAGCACTTGGTGTCTTCGGTGACCACATGACATAGCACACTAAGTACCCTCCCAGTGCTCACACACTGCACTCATGTAGCCTCAGGGCTGTGGCATCAGCTCACGCTATAGCACAGCCTGTCCCCAAGCCTGTATGGGCTGAATGTGCTCCTCTGGGCAGGGTTCCTCAGGGCCCCTCAGCCTTACCCACTGTGCCAGCCTCCTTCAGGAACGTCTCCCCAAGTTTCTTGTTATCAAGGTGTAAATCTGCGAGCTGGGCTCCAAGCTTTGCAGCCTGACTGTGAAACCAAAAGAAGGAAAACAGATGACAAACAGGAGACATGCCTGTCTGAAAGGCCTAGGGCACATAAAGTAGGTCAAACATTTGAGGACAGAAAGCCCATTTCTGTCAAAACCAAGGGAGATGAAGGGCTGCACCTGATGGACTCTCCCAGCCTCATCTGATATGGCACTGGGTCCACTGCCAGCCCCTCACTTGGAGAGTCCTCTCCTTGGCCTTTGACTTTCAAAGAGTACTACCACTCATACTGCAGAACCGTCATGTGGTGGAGTCATGGATTCTTAGTCACATTCCTCAAACAGTGTCCCCAAGTACAAACTAGAGGATTAAAGAACCACAGAGCCTTTCCTTTCCTTCTTTTGGCAACGGCACTGGGGATTGAACCCAGGGGTACTCTACCACTAACTATATCCCTAGCTCTTTCTATCATTTATTTAGGCACAGGGTCTTACTGATTTGCTTAGGGACTTGCTAAGGCTGACCTCAAACTTGCCTCAGCCTCCTGAGTCTCTGGGACTCAACTCAAGCCTCTACTTTTAAGGAGAAGGGATGGTGTCCAGACAGACCTGCTTAAATACCGCATGTCCAGATGCTCCATCACCAGCATGCTCCCACCTCCAGGGGCACCGAGCACCTTGATGGGCTTGGGCACTTTCACGGTGTCCGTTTTCAGAATGGCAGTTAAACTTGACATCTCACCTTCAAACATTCTTTTGGCCTGTCAGAAAGACAATGGAGGACGGGAAGAGGAGAGAAAAGAGGCAGAGGTTACCCTGGAAAGGTTCCAGGTAGACAGGTTTTCTTCTGGCATTCCCAGTGCTGGACCAAGGACTATACACATGGAAGGCTTTTCCAAAGCACGTGTCAACAGTGGTATGAATGCTCAAGTTGTACAGGAAAGAAAGGGCTTGAACTTTCCAGAATTGGACCACAGATTTATTCTGTGACTGAAACCAAAAGGACTAGAGAGAGGAGAGTGGAAGGCTGCTCCTTTCCCTGAGCACTGGTCACAGAGCTGGACTGTGCACCTGTGGCGGAGGCCATCCTGACAGGAGCTGTGCACACACCTGTAAGTCCTGAGTAAAGAGGTACTGGACTGGTACTGCACCCTGCAATGCAACTGGATAAGAAAGGTGCAGCTCTGGGAGTGGGTGTCACAAGATGGTGTTGAATGCCGCCCACCTGTTTGTTGTAATCCTACCCTTTTGCCCTTTCTTGGATAGAATGGTCCATGGATTAGCTCCAGTTAATAAAACCCAGGTGCCCCCTCTTCCTTCTTGCCTGCCTTGTCTCCCCGTGGGAGCTGTGGCCGAGGAGTCGTCACTGAACCCAAAGAAAAAAGTGCTTTCTGTGTCTGTGTCTTTATTCAGTCAGCCCAAATTCACTTGGCGTTACCCTGATTTAGTCACGTGTCCCCGCATACATGGGTTCTTTCATTACCCTCAAATAGCATCTCAGCCACAGTCCTGTTCCACAGGGAGGAGGCAGGTGGCCAGGAACCTGGGGCCGCTTTCATTAAATGGACCACCAAGTTCTATGCCACCTGCTACCAGGCACTGCAAACGGCTCATCTCCACCACTCCCACCTCAGTCTCGGGACTACAAGGACCACCCTCCACTGGGTCTCCCCGCTCACAACACAGCATGATTCCTCTTTAAGGCAAATCGGACCCTGGATAACAGAAGCCTGCAACCCTCTGGCTTCCTGCCCACTTTCCACCTTTTTCTGGGGCATGTGCACCCACACATACCCCTTGAAGCTCTGGGATTCTTTCAGTTCCTTGCCTTCTGCAGCCTGAAAGCCCCACAGTAATGCCACCTCGTGTAGCACACTATCCCCACCTCTTTTGCCATATCAGTTTCTTCCTAGTCACTTTCAGATTCCAACTTGACATTTGTTTCAGTGGGCCAAAGAAATGTTCCCTAACTTCCCATTCTAGGTGATTCTTCTTTGGTTTTTATAAAATATTTTTTTAGTTGTAGATGGACACATTATTTTTATTTCTTTATTTTTATGTGGTGCTGAGGGCCTCACACGTACAAGGCAAGCACTCTACCACTAAGTTAAAACCCCACCCCAAATTCCTCCCTTGTAAAACACTCTATTTATTTGAATTTTGAGAAAGTGTCTCACTAAGTTGCTGAGGCTAGCTTCAAACTTGCGACCCTCCTGCCTCAAACTGATGGAGTACAGGCATGGCCACTGTACCCACCTACCCAGCCCTTTAAGGAAAATTGTCACTGAAATAATACAGGGGGGCTGGGGATGTGGCTCAAGCGGTAGTGCGCTCGCCTGGCATATGTGCGGCCCGGGTTCAATCCTCAGCACCACATACAAAGATGTTATGTTCGCCGAAAACTAAAAAAAAAAAAAAAAAAATCTCTCTCTCTCTCTCTCTCTCTCTCTTTAGGAAAAAAAAAAAGAAATATATACAGGAAGGTGTGTGGTTCATCAGTGCCCAACTCAATCAATTCCCACAACAAAACCACCGCCCAAAACAAGAGTCCAGATACCTCCATGATCCAGAAACCCCTCTCCCACCATCCAGTGCTACCCACCCACCCACCAGAAGCAGCCTCTGCCTGAACTTGCACCAAGACTTATTTTGCCTGCTTGGTCATCTTATAGTCACATGGTCTCTGGGATCTGGCCCCTTTACTCCACACTGCACCCCTGTGTGGGTGCAACATCAGTCGGAGCTCATGCTTACTGCGTACAGGGCTCCACTGCTGTGACTACTCCAACTTGTAGTCACCCATTCTACTGGTAATGGACAACCAAGCTTCCATACCAGGGCTATTAGGAACAGTGCTGCCATAGTCTACTTATTCCCATAGTTGCTAACTCTGTGACCTTGGGCAAGTTATTTAAGCTTTCTATGGCCCAGTTTCCTTATCTGAAAAGTGGGGTTAATACTAAACTGCACAGGCTTGCTGCCATAATTAACTGAGTTAGCAGCTAACACCGACATAGTCCATTCTCAATACTTCATCACCTTAGAGAGCCAAAGTCACTGAGCAGGAAGAGCTGTATCCTAGATGGAACTTTTACAACATTCTCTTTAGGAGATAAAGGGGAACAACCAGGCCCTGTCTACACTTACTAGATATTGGTTGATGCCAGGAGCCATCTGTGAAATGTGCGTGAACCCAATCGGCATGGAAACCATTGGGTAGGAAAGTCTGCTGAGAACTCACAGTGGCACTCCTGCTAGTTTGAGATCACCCAGGACATGTGACATCCTATCTAACTCTGCCACCGGTTCCGCATAGCACCAGAGATGGGTGACCTGCTGGAGCCATATAGCCAGCCACTCAGAGTGGGGTGTGGCTTGCGAAGATGCTAATCAACCTGTTTGCTGCAAGTCCCCTGCCACACCAAGAAGCAAGCCTCCTCCTGATGAAACTTTTTCTCTGCCTTTGATATACTCTCCCATAAATAAAAGCCAGGAGCCATTTTCTAGCAGTTCTGTTCCAGCTCCAATGTAAACTGGCCTTGTACCTGTGAGGCAAGCGCTCTACCACTGAGCCACAGCCCCAGCCTCTCAGACACTCCTCTTTGAACCTAATTCTGGCTCTGTCTCGTATTTCTTTACTAAATATTTCATTTTCTCAGGTGGCTTACCAACTCCTGAGCAGGAAACTGAGAGGCTGGGGTTGTAGCTCAGTGGTAGAGCACTTGTCTCACAGGTACAAGGCCCTGGGTTCATTCCTCAGCACCACATAAAAATAAATAAATAAAATAAAGGTACTGTGTCCAACTACAACTAAAAAGTAAATATTAAGAAAAAAAAGGAGTGTCTGACAGATTCTCCAGTGTGATGGCTGCCCAGTGATACTGGTTATGGAGACTAAGTAATAGACAGATTTCAAAAGATTCAGGGAGAGCTGGGAGTGGTGGTGTGCCTGTAATCCCAGCCACTCGGGAGGCTAAAACAGGAGGATTGCAAGTTCAAAGCCAACCTCAGCAACTTAGTGAGGCACTTAGCAACTCAGTGAGACCCTGTCTCTACATAAAATACTTTTTTTGTTTTGTTTTGTTTAAGAAAGGGACTGGGGAAGGGGCTCAGTGATTAAGTGTCCATGGATTCAAAAAAAAACAGATGCAGGGACTGATGAAAGAGGGCCTAGAAACCCAGCTCCTTCACAGACACACTGACGGCTACATGCCTCAAGTTCCCAACTAAAGAAAACTGCTACTCATGAGCAGATCAAAGGTAAAATCAGGCATCCTGGTCTAGGGAACTAGGATGGAAATGATCCATGTGAGATTGTTTTAAGTGGATCTACAAAAGATCCCAGGGAGGAGTATGACAGAAAACCTATTATACAGGTGTGCAAGGGGCAGATAAGAACAATCAAAAGGGAAAACAACTGTGACCAAATGAACTCCAACACGGGGCCAGAAAGAAAAGAGAAGAGCAGGAGGTAGTCTGGAAGACTGTCTTACTTCCTGGAAGGGAAAGCATAAAGAAGTCACGTTTCCAACACCACAGCAAATGTCGTTCAATGAGCAGTATATTTGCATTACACACACTGTATGCTCCAGTGCAAGCTAGAAAATCACATATTAGAACTATCTACCAAAAATCTAGAAGGAAGATCAGCAAAAAGAAAATGGACTTCACTGATGTAGCAAGTAAAGAACCTAAACAAGCAGCCACAGAACAGTGTTCAAAAAGCATCCCTGGGGCTGGGGGCGAGGCTCAGTGAGTGGTAAAGAACATGCCCAAGGCCCTGGGTTCAATCCCCAGCACCACTAAATAAATAAATTAATTAGATGAAATAAAAGCACTAAGTGTTTCCATTTTAATCAACGGAAAACATTCACTTGCCTTGTAATCAGTTCTGACTGCAAATGCCAGGAGAAGGGGGAATGGAGATGTGAAAGGATGGATACCGCAGAAAACTGAACAGAGACACCTGCTGCAGAACATGAGGAGGCAGGACACTGCTGCATGAGCACCCATGCTTGGGACAGACCTATGTAAGACTATGTGAGACTGGAGGGCAGGCTGGTCTGGAGGCTGAGGTGTGAGAACAGAAAGATTTCAGAGTCGAGATGATCTTGCATCCTGGAAAGGAGAACTCCTTTCTGAGAAGAAAATGGAAATAACTTCCAGAATAAATTCTTTTATTTTCTTTTGGTACCAGGGATTGAACCCAAGGATGCTTAACCACTGAGCCACACCCCCAGCCCTTTTTTATTTTGAGAAAGGTCTCACTAAGTTGCTTAGGGCCTCACTAAGTTGTTGAGGCTGGCCTCGAACTTGCAGTTCTTCGGTCTCAGCTTCCAGGAGTCTCTGGGGTTGCGGGCTTGCGCCACTAGGCCCAGCTCAGAATGAATTCTAGGAGACAGCTGAGAAGCACAGAGAGGATGTGTGGTCTGTGGGGCTTAAATGGGTAACACCTTCGTCCCACTTGAAAAGGCCAGGCCCAGTCCTGCTCACTCCCTAAAGGACTGGGCGACTCGGCGGCAGCTTAAGGCCGGACGCCCATCTGCAGGAGGGCGGAGTCGCGCTCGCGACCACCCAGGGCCGCCCCTCCCTGCCAGCTCCTCCAGAACCCGCGGGCACACCGCGTCTCCTGAAGGCAGGACACACCACGGCGGGGAAACCGCCCGGGCCGCCATCACCCGGTCCCCGCCCCAGCTCCCCGAGCGACCCGGACCCGGACGCGAGCCCGGCCCGGGATCCCCGACCGCGGCCCGAACCCGCTCTGCGATCCCGCGCCGGCCCGCCCGCAGGGGCGCCCTACCTCGGACTTGGGGTTCACTTTCACAAACACCCGTCCAATGTCCGTGTCGTAACTCTGGCCCTGGCTGATGCACCCGCCTCCGGAGTGACCCGCGGCCTGGACCGAGCGGCAGCCCAGCTCCCGCTGCAGCAGCTCCTCCATGTCCCGCCCGCGCCGCCCGGCTCTCGCCCGACTGCCACGCGCGCACGGCGGCTGCGCGGAGCCCACCCGGCCCTCGCGGGGATTGGGTGGCAGAGGGCAGGGGGCGGGACGGCACCGCGCAGAACCCGGCGAGGGCCGGGCGAGGGCAGGTCCGGGGCGGGGCCGGGAGCAGGTGGGCGCACGGGGATTGGGTGAGAGCACGGGGGCGGGGCCGGGAGGGCGGTCGGCCCAGCGCGGCCCGCTACGCACCTGGACGCACCCCCGCCGCGCTCGGCGCCCACGGCGCTGGGCCTGCTACACCCCTCGGCGCGGTCCGAACTGGCGCCGGAATAGGATGGTCAGAGAGGGTGGAAAGGGAGCCGCCTCGGTCCCACAGGCACTACTGCAGCTGCCGAACGGTGCTAGGAAGGCCGGGCTCTCAAAGGACCCGGGTCTTGGTTGTGCCTCTCCCTCCTTGAGTGCTGCGCGGCCCCACCTCCACCTGCTCTTGACTTTGCCCTTGCCTTGACCTAGCCTTGACCCTGCCACTGGCTGGACCTTCCTTCCTTCTGCTCACTGATGCTGCCCCACCCTGTTGGCCCCTGCACTAGCAATTCCAGATGGGTGACAAAGTGGCCTCCACCAAGGGAAATATCTGAAACGTCCTGAGAGGTTTTCGTAAATTTGCAGGTTGTGTTTTTTGTTTGGCCCGAGATGGTCTGATTAGCATGTGTGTCCAGACCTCAGTTCCTTGAGGGTAGGATAGTCTCTTGTTCCTTGTAATGGTCAGGATTCTGCAGAGACACCAAAACAACAAGCCATGTGTATAGGAAATTTGAGGAGCTGTAGAAGTGCATCTGCAGTGGTGGCTTCCTTGGAAACCCAAGGAAGAGTTGTAGTCGGAGTCCAAAGGTTATCTGCTGACAGAATTCTTTGCTTCTCAGGAAGTTGAGTTCTGTTAAGGCCTTCAAATGATTAGGTGAGGCCCACCCATAAGACAGAGGGCAATCTACTTTACTTCTATCCGTTGATTTAAATGTTAATTTCAAGACAAAAAGACAACTTCACAGAAATACACAGTATGATGTTTGACCAAATAACTGAGCACCATTACCCATTCAAGTTGACACAAAATTAACAACCTGGGGTTGAGTTTGGTGGTGCACACCTGTAATCCCAGACTCAGGGATCTGAAGCAGGAGGATAGTAAGCAAGTTCAAGTCCAGCCTCAGCCCTTTAGTGAGTCCTGGTCTCAGTAAAAAGATCTGGGGCCATAGCTGAGTGGTAGAACACCCCTGTGGAACAGTAGTGGTAGAGCAGTCCCTAGTACCACAAAAAATAAAAATAAATGTAATCATCATAGTCCTCTTGTTCTCCAGTACCCAGGATTACCCCCAGTGCCAGTGTGTTGTGGGTTTTCAATAGGAATACACTAAAATAATGAGTGAATAAATGAAGCCTTACAGATTGCTTAACCAAACTTTCTGCTAAAAATGATTAGAAATGCTGATTAAAAATAGTTAAATACATCTAAAGAACATCCGAGAATAGAGAAGATAGCAAGGAAAATCAGCCCCAATTCTGGGTGTTGGGACCCCTTTGTCAAGGGAAGGTCTAATACTACCCTTGCCTTAAGGACAAGAGCTCTTTGCCTTAGGAAGAGGGAGTCTCCTAAGAAAGAACACCTCAAGGGCCACCCTCTCAACAAGAAGGTGAACTACATGTGCGTCTGGACGTGGACCCGGGAGACCCTGGGGCCGGTGGCTTCATTGCGCATTCACCCCACAAGGGCTCCCCCGGCCCCCCACTCTCCCACCGCCTCTCCGGCCGCACCTCCCCTCCCTCCCAGCCCCGCACTGCCCCGCCCCGCATCCCACCACTGCTGCTGGGTCCCTCCTGGTCCCCAGCGCTCCCCAACACTGTGCCTGGCACCCGCGCGCGCTCCCGGAACCCTCCCCGGCCTCGCGCACACTGCGCTGGCCTTACCCGGTGGCCAGGCGCCGTCCGGGCTCTCGTGGCTTTGCCACCCCGTGGTCTCCTCGGAGCAGGAACTTGAGCAGGACCGGGCGGGGTTCCCAGGGCGCTCATTGTCCGGCCTGGCGTCCCCTTCCCCAAGCCCCGCCGCTGGCTGCGCACACAGGCAGCGAGCGGGTCCCAGAGTGCTGGGGACCCAGCCCTCAAAACGACAGGGTGGGACATGCCCATCAAGTTTCCCAGGCGAGTCTCTGGATCCCAGTGCTTAGTGACACCTTCCACGAGAGTCCCGCCTGCAACAGACCAAGGACCACAAAGCCCTGTGGGCCTCGCTGCCCCAGGCTTGGGGTCTTGTGGCTGAGTTTTCTGGTACCTCTTCTGGGGGGGCTGCTCGGCGCTCTCCAGGCTTCCTTCAGCTGCTGTGTCCTCCTTTCCTCTGGCCTCCACACCTGTGTTCCAACCACACAGCGGCAGCCCCCAGTACACCAGAAGTGGCCGCAGGCGGTGGTTTCTCAGGAAAGCGGAAGAATGGGCTCTGCTGGAGTGAGGAAGGATATTTTTCTTAAAAATATTTATTGGGGTTGTGGTATAGGGGTAGAGTGCTCACCTAGCACCTGCAAGGCCTTGGGTTTGATCCTCAGCACCACATAAAAATAGATAAATAAAATAGAGGTATTGTGTCCAACTACAACTAAATACATATATACATATATATATATTTTTTTTCTTCTTCTTTTTTTATTGGAGCCCAGTGCAGGGACGCATGCCTGTAATCCAGTGACTCAGAGGCTGAGGCAGGTACAAGTTCAAAGCCAGCCTCGAAACGCAGCAAGGCCCTAAGCAACTTAGTGAGACCCTGTCTCTAAATAAAAAACTAAACGGACTAGGGCTGTGACTCAGTAATTAAGTGTCCCCATGTTCAACCCCTGGAACCAGATATTCATTAATGTTTTTAGTACCAGGGTGTAACTTAGTGGCAGAGAGCTTGCCTAGCATGCACAAGGCCCTGAGTTCTGTCACCAGCGTTTCTTTTCTTTCAGAAGAAATGTATACTGATGACAAGAAAAGCTTGGGGAGAGAAGGGTGACCACTACCACAGCTGCAGCTCAGAGCCCCCTGCAGCCAGAGACCTGAGCTCTTTCCTCCTGGGATAGAGTGCAGCCTGTGCAACAGTTTCGCTTCCCATCTCACCCTACCTCTGCACTCCTGTTTCAGGTCCCTAGTGTGGACCTTAGGACTCGGCCACAGAATGGCCCCTCACCCTGGCCCCTAGGAAGTCAGCCTGTGCTGAAGCCTTGTGTGCAGTGTGAGGCCTTCAGAGTGAGGGACAGAGGTGGTGGGAAGGAAGGAGGGGCAGCCAGGACAGGGCACAGCACCCACCCGGCCACAGCCCCACAGGAAACTCGCTGGCCACCACGTCACATGTGGGCTCCCTGTAGCCTGAGAACAGCTCATGGGGGCAGAAGGTCCAAGCCCAGGCCACAGGGCAAACCTAACTCTCCTGGCTTGTGTCCCCACCCCCTGGGGACTCGGGGGCCCAGTCAGAGAGCAGGGCTGATGGCTGCCCAGTGGGTGGGTGGGTCCTCAGGGAGGCGGGCAGTGATGCTGAGGGAGGAGGGGACAGTTGGTGGCCGCTCGGGGTGCGGGCAGGTAGGTGGGGCAAACCGGTCTCCATCTCCCTGTAAACCCTCTCTCTCCCAGGAGGTCTGGTTTCCTGAGAGGCAGCTGGAGAAGCCCTCTGCAGCCGGCCCACTCCTAAGCCCTGCCCACACTTTCACAGGGATCCACCATCCTGCTGGATGACTAGGCCAGAGGGTGAAGCTGCAGCTCTGGTGAGTGTGGCCCCTCAGCCCCAGAGACGGACATGGGCTCGCACTGCACCCCAGCCTGAGCTAACAGCTCCCCCAGGTCTCAAGCCTGAGCGCAGCACTGGGCAGGGCGCGTGTTGAGGGAAGATGCCTTCTGATGAGAAGGCTCTGCGCTGCCTGGGCCTTGGCCTTCCCCTCCATGGGCTTTAGGGGCATGATCAAGACAGCCAGGTTCTGGGCCTCCCACACCACTTCTGAGAGGCCAGCAAGGTGCTGGAGGCCGGGGGCTTGCTGACCTGACATTGCTGACCCCCCCACACACACAGCCCGGACTGTCTTTGACTCTTCAGCTCTCTTTCCCTCCTTTCTCCCTTCTTTCTCTCCTTCCTTTCTTCTTTGATACTCGGGACTGAACCCCAGGGTTGGTTTTCTACCAGTTTACACCCTCAGACCTCCCTCCTGCTGGGCTCTGGACCGGTCTTCTCCTTGGCCCCTGAGGTGGCGCAGGCTCTGAGGTTGTGGTCACCCCCCTCCAGCCATGGGGCTGCGTGTTTCCTACCGCCCCAGTCCCAGCTTTCCCAGGTAAACCCTCTCCAAGCCTTCCACCCTCCTTCCTATGGGACTGCCCTGCCCACTCCTAAGCCACACAACTCCAACAGCAGGGGGCGCCTCCGCCAGCCAAGGAGCTTTTCTTCATTCACAGTGTCCTCACGGGTCTTCCAAGGATGCTGACCACCTCGGGCCTGTGAGATGGATGCCTATCATCTGAGGGTTGCAAGCTAAAGCCTCAACTGACCCCTGCCTCAGAGGCGGCATCAGCAGGACCTCCCAGAGCCGCTCATGGCTCTCCAGGTCTGCTTCTGGCCTGTGCTATCCATCTTCATAAATGCCCCCATGTCCCCTAGTTGCCCCAGTTGGACGCAAACCTTTTTTTTAGGGAAATGCAGTGTTTTATTTATTCTATTAATTATGGATATTTGAAAACATTTACAATGTTAATTAAAATTTACTTAAGAACAACTTTCATTTTTTACGTTTAAATATTGAGCAATAATAAGAGAAAATAGATAATTATGGTCAAAATTATTCTGTCAAAACATAATGCTTGATATTAGCATCTTTACATGCAACTCAGTTTTGGTGTAAAGTTCTTTGGCTGCAAGAAAGAACATTTTGGGCTGTGGCTATGGCTCAGTGGTAGAGCACTTGCCTAGCATGTTGAGGCACTGGATTAGATTCTCAGCACCACATATAAAATAAAATAAATTAAATAAAG